CATCGCCGTCCTCGGCTCTGTCGTAGTCGTTGAGCGACACCGACAAGTGGACGTCGCTCTCGCACAAAGCCAGCTTGTATGCAGCTGAGCCAAACAGCGGGGCGTTGGTCTCAAGGAGCTGGTGCACGGCTTTTCAAAGCCGCCGCGTCATGGCGACCAACGGATACAGAGCAGGCGAATGTCAACACAGCCGGCAGATATAAAAAGTAGGCAGCGATCCTGTTGGGAGAGGTGCGGAGGGAGGAGGAAGCATGGTGGGCGACTCTGATCATTAGACATGCAGAAAACGTTTGTGAAGAGATTTGTATCTGCAGATGTTGTAATCGGACGTACTTGATCTTTTCTTGGGCGGCTTTGGCCGCTTGACTGTCGGGGGTGGGCCAAATGTCCCGTCAATGGGACGGCGGGGCAGGCCGACGAGGAACGTTAGGCGCCATCATGGGAGCGGGGTCTCGCCGTCCAGCATCTTTCGCTTGGACGGTAGCTGCTTCTTGGCTGAGAGACACACATAAGCAGACAGTGAATGACTCATGGCCAGACGCAACGCTGCCTGCACGCATCCTCTTAGAATACCGGGCGTCTTCTCGGGCACCGGTGGCAGAATGGGCTTCTTGTCCCGAGAAGCCACCCTGAAGCGGCTCCCTGTCGCCTGGTGGAGGTGCTTGTTGCGTGCTTTCTCACGCAGGCGCTCCTGGAACGTCTTGCCCTTGGCCGCAAACTGAAAGCGCACCAGGACACCATCGAAAGTCAAAAGCTTTCAACATAACGGTGGCGTTGACGGTGCAGCTCACCTCCTGCATGAACTGGCCCACTCTCCTAGTCACCTCGAGCATCTCCGCCAGCAGCCTCTCATCGGGGTCCTCGAGCACCAGGGCGCCGCTGGAGTTGCTGCGTCGGGGCAGCAGACGTGCGGGCAGCGTTCGGCAGCCCTCTGTTGCCGCCGGCTGGTGCTCCTCCTCGCTCGCCGTCTCCTCCTCTCCCTCGCCGGCCGTCTCCCCTTCCTCGGGCTCCTCCTTGATGACCTCCTCGTCAAGGTCAAATTGGTCGCGCATGTCGACTTCGACAACGGCCTCTGAGTCGCTCATCATGTTGGCGCTCCTTGTCAAGCGCTTTCTCTGATCCCCAGAAATGCAGAAAACGGTTGCGAAGATATTTGTATCTGCAGATGTTGTAATCGGACGTACTGGATCTCTTCTTGGGAGGATTTGGGCGTGGGCCAAACGTCCTGTCAATGGGGCGGCGGGGGATGCCGACGAGGAAGGGTGGGCGCCATCCTGGGAGCGGGGTCTTACCGTCCAGCATCTTCTGCTTTGACGGTATCTGCTTCTTCGCTGAGAGACACACATAAGCAGACAGTGAATGTGTGATGGCCAGAGACACCGCAGCGGTCTGCACCCATTCTCTCGGCATACCTCCGAAATCTTGCTTCCTCCCCGAATTTGTGCACATATTCTGCGCCTACATAAGCCGCCGCACATTCTTGTGATTTTGTTGATCGTCTCGCCTCCCCGGCCGAGTATCAGCCCCCTCTCGGTCTGATGCAGGAATGAAAGCGCCACACACACATGCGTGGACGTATATCTCAGCCATGAGTGTGTATTTGCTCATCACTGGCGAGTTCATCTCGAATTTCTCGCGGATGAGCTTGCCGGGCCTTGGCGGGTTTGCCGGCAGATGGCCGATGACTTCATCGATGCTCTGGCCCGCCGCCAGGGACTTGAGGGTGCGATCGAACTCGTGCATCATCCGGGCGCGCATCTGAACAGGAGCATCAGAGGCAGAGACATGTGTGTGTGCATGCATCTGCGGCTCCATGCAATCGTCTGTATACCTGCGGCTTCACCGTGTACATGCTGTCGGTCTCTATCGGGTCCTCGACCCACATGTCCTGAAGAGGCAGGGGAACTTCTCGCGTCAAAGCAAGCCTTTTGTCCATTCATTTTGTTGCTGGGTACCTCGGGGTGGTCAGCATAGTCCGTCTCCCTATCGTCGGCCCTCTGTGATGTCTGCAGGCGCACATGCCACATGCCGTGATGTGGTATCCCCTCTCTCCTTCTCATGTTACTTACGGTGGCGCTGTCTGTGTTGATGTATTTTCTCTGTCGTCGGTGTCGCTGCAGGTATTCTGCTTTGGTGACGACGTCGGGGGCCAGGCGGATGGCGACGACGTATTTGCGGACATCGAGCTGCTCCTTGTAGAAACTAAACAAGATAGAATCAAAGGAGAGAAGGTACACAAGCAGGGTTTTTGGCTGTGTCTCCATCCCTCCCTCCCTGTCTATCTCCCTGTGTGTGCGTATATATGAGGCCTACTCACCTGAAAAACTCATACAAGAGCTGGGGCAGCTCGAGATTCGCGCCGTTGGCGGCGTAGGGGTTTACCCGTCGCCTGTCACACACACACATAAAAGAGCTCGATAAGTATCTCAGGGAATCTCCTGTCTGCGGCTCAATTCACCTGAAGTTCCTTCTTCTCTCCAGCTCCTGTCTCGCCTCCTTGGGTGGAGGGAATTGGGGCTGCCGCTCATCATTCGCTCTCCCTGATCACACACATGACACAATTGTGACGAGAATGGCCCTGCAGATCTCGTCATCGGACACACTGGAGCTCTTTTCGTAGGGGCTTGAAGGTGGGAGGCGGGCCAAATGTTCCGTCCAGGGGGCGGCGGGCGACACCCACTAGGAACGGCTTCGGGGCAGGTGGCCTCGCTCCCGGCAGCAGCGTCCCGTCCAGCATCGCCTTCCTTGCGGGCACGGGCTTCTCGGCTGAGAGAGACGCAGAGACAGGCACACGGCTTGTCTTTCGAGGTATCCTCTCAGCGCACCTCTTGTCTGCTCCGGCACCGACGGCAGCTTGGGCTTGGGCTTGCTGTAGCCGCTGCCGGCGACCTTCCTTAGGTGTCGGTGCTCACTCTCCCGCAGCCGCTCCTGGAACGTCTTTGACTTGTTTTTGAACTGAGAAGCCAACCAGGATACCATTCGAAAGTTGAGAGCTTCCAATCGAATGGCGCATTGTGGGTGCAGCTGACCTGCTGCCTGAGCCGCTCGCGCCGTTGGTTTGTTGCAGCGATCTCCCTCAAGGCCCGCTGGAATGGCGTCTCCTGGCAGTCGGCCCCCTCCTCTCCCTCGTCTGCCGCCTCCTCGGCAACGAGCTCGACAGCCGACGCCATCTCCTCGGCAACGTCGACAGCCGTGTCCTCCGCCGCCGTCTCCCCGACCACCCCTCCTGTCCCTCGGCTGCCGTCTCCTTGACGGTCTCCTCCTCTTCCTCGGCAGCTGTGTCGTCAGAGGGCTGAGCCCCTTAAGCTTCTTTCAGGGTCTCTTCGTCGAGGTCGAACTCGTCGCGCAGGTCGAGGGCCTCCGAGTCGCTCGTTTCAATCTCGTGGGTCCTGGGGCTTCCATGGATCCAAGCCGCGCACATCCCAGCCAAGGGATGGAGCTGTTGCGGAGGACCGTGCAGCTGGCGTGCAGCCGCCTTCTCGGGCACCAGCTCGTCATGGGCGAGAGAGGCCAGACTGTCCTGCGCCGTTGCCGACGCTTCCTCTGCCGCGTCCTTCGCTGCGTGCCGCTGCTCCCAGCGGCACTGTCGGCATGGTGCTATGGGCATGGTGCGTCGCATCGTTTGCCTGCCGGAGGACTACCCTCCGACTAAGTCCTTCGCGCTCCTCCGCATTCTGCGAAGGACCGAGGAGGAGAAAGTGGAAACCACGAGCCTTGAAGAACGTCGGAATCGAAAGAGGTATAAAGGGGCCTTTTCGCGTTTTGTTAGCCTCAGTCTTTTTGGGCCCGTCTCCCCGTCTCCGGTCGAGAATCGCTTTTTGTGGACGCTACTGCTGCTGCTGTGTCACTCGGCCATCGGCCACCCAACGTCCTCAAATGTCCTCACCCTCGATGAATGCACCACGACAACAGACGGTACAACAGACAGACAACAGCCGACGGACAGACTCTGCTCATGAGGCAAGAATGTCACTATGGTGCCGCCTTCCACCAGCAGGGGAGGGATGTGAGGTGGGGAGGAGGAGGGAACGACCACGTGGTGTCCCTTCCGAGCGCGTCATGGCACTGATTTTGCAGTGTTTCTTTTCTCTCTGTCCAGCAATCGTGAACATTGAAGAAACTTTAAGGTCCACTTGCAATGAAACGAAAAAGGACGACAGCAATCTCCCCTGTCTTCTCACCCACACACACGCCATCCGTCACCTACTGGCAGTCGTCGCGGTCCTAATGAGGCTGCCGAGCTGCATCAGCCGCCAGAGGAGCAAGTGAAGAAAGACAGTGAACATGGGGAACGTCCTTGGAAGAAGGATGCAGGTGAGGAGCGGAAAATGAGAGGGGCGACATGGGCGAGTGCGAGAAGATGGAGACGGACAGGGGAATCCGCGAACGGTGCCAAAACTGTGGGGAGACATATATGCCAGCCAGGCAGCGATGATGTGCATGCTCGAGCTCCTTCTACATGGGCTGTTGGCTGCTTACGTAAAGTAGTGGTTTATCTCCGCTCTGACCAGCTGCTGTGCTCGCGCAGAAGGGGCCTGCATTCCCCACAAGGACACGCAGCATTTGCGGTCCATGGTATGTCCTGCCGCCTCTCTTTCAATCCGCACCTGCTGTTTGAACCGAGAGCGCTGCCCCACTGGCGGCAGGGGGTCTCGCCCACTGTCACTTGACCTTCTTGACTCGTTTTCATGTCCACCGCTCGAAGGCAGACGGTCGCTTTGTCGCCTTGCTTCCCATCTCCGATAGTAGGCCTCATCATACACTTGGCCGTAAGAGGGCCGTCTGGCGTTGTGGAAGAACCACACGCTGTCGTGCTCTCCTTGATAGTCGACCCCTGGCAAGCGCAGGAGGGGCAGGGGGCCTCTCTCGTGGTCTCGATGGTAGAAGACTTCATATACTCTGTCGGGCGCGAGTGGCGTGGGGGAGTGGCTGAAGTACCACGACGCGTCATACTCGCCAGCGAAATCGATGTCACGCACACTGTGCTGACGGGGGGGCATCACCAGGACACCAACGATAAGGCGCAAACGCGAAAGACACGAGATTCTCCAGCCTGATTTCTGAGATCGAAGACGAAATGTGATCGCGCGGGACGCATCATTCATTGCGAGGGTTTTTCTTAGCAAGCCCCACCTCTTTGTCTGCCTGCTCTTCAATCGGGGACGCCGGCAGCATCATGACGAAAGAGGTCAGCAATACTCAGGAGCAGCCCCGCGGCAGCGGTTGGAACAGCAAGGGCAACAAATGGACGGACCTCGGCAGTGGTGCCTACCACTATTCGAACTATGACGGCGGCGCGAACAAGTAAGGGGGACCCACGGATCTCTCTACTTCCAAACGACCGTTTTTTGCCTGCACGTGTTCAGTTCGTTCTACTACAAACACCAGGACGGCTCGTCTTACTACGGCAAAGTGGTGGAGGGGAAGCATGTGAGCGGAGTGTACACGTCGCCGAAGGGAGTGCGCAAGACATACGGCCCCTACAGCCGCCAGAAGTGAGAGCTGGGGAGAGAGACCAAAGAGGGGGTTGCACGTGGAAAGACACTGCGTACTGCGCAAGACACATGACAGACTCTGGCTCGTTAGCAATGAACCGCATTGCAAGCTGTTGTTTGGTGGGTGGCTTTGGCTCACACGTAGAGATGCCCTAACGCATAAAGAGAATGGCCGCCAGTAATCACCACCATAATCATGATACAAAACGCATGAATGAGAGTGAGTCAATGCAGAGGTCAATTTTCGCCCACACCGGGCGAACTAGTCGTCACACACACGCAGGCAGACAGGCAGGCAGGCAGGCAGAGGGAGGGAGGGAGGGAGGGAGAAGGCCCCCATGCACACACACATACAGAGCATAGAACAACACAACACAACACCTCTCACACATTCGCTGCCATTCGCCCATCCATCCATCCATCCATGATGATCCATCCATATTTCCTGTCTGTCTGTCTGTCTGTCACGTTTCTGACATTACAAGAGTCCATCCACGTGCTGTCGATGGTTGCAATGCCACGCGAGGACAGATACATACACACCTCTGTCTGTCTGTCTGTCTGTCTAACTGTGAATGGCAGCAGGTGAGTGCCGTCATGGTCAGCGACGCAGGCTGCCCATCCATCCCTTCTGTCTCTGCCCGCTCATGTGCCGCTTGTGTCACGCTCGTGTGCCTTCGCAACTCAGTAGTGCGACCAGCCAGCCAGCCACATCTCTTATCGGTATCACTGACCTGTCCGAGCTCAAAGGCCTCGAGCACTCACGCAGTGACGACACACGGTTGCGCGACAGCGATTCTACCAACACACACACACACAAATCCCCCGCGCGCGAATTACAATTAGCCAGCCATCCATCCACCCATGGATGCGTTGGGAAGCCAAGTGAGTGAATGAGTGTAGTGGTCACACGTTACTAACCGACTGGCACGCACGGAAAGCCACGCCGCCCTTCGTCACCACCCCTACCAACACACAACAGCAACACAGATCACCCCCCTCCCTCCCTCCCTCCCCCCTGTCCCTTATCGTGGATAAAAAAGGCGCATGGCATGGATGGCATGGATGGCAGGAAGTATCGCGATGGAGGTTGGTGCGGTGCGATGGTGCAAATGCTGTATGTAGGCACATACATACACAAACATGCATAGATGCATCCACCCCATGTACCTATCTCTGAGCAATGGGTGACGTCAAGCGAGCGCCTTTTGGCGGCTCCGTCCGTCCATTCCATCTACGCTTTCCTGGCCCATCCGACTTCCTGCATACATCCTGTGCAGCTGAGTGAGGCCCGTTTGCCGCGACTGGCTGACCGTGTCCGTGTATCTGTGTGTGTGTGTGTGTATATTGTGAGTGTGTGAAAATCATTGGTTCAAAAATCACAAGCCCTACAGTATCGTCCCTAGCGCCGTCCCCCACTCACCCCCCCAGTGTCCGTCGTCTGTCTCAAATAGTTTGTGTGGAAAGCAAGTGTGCCGTGTGCAGTGCAAAGGGAAAAAAGACCCATGGCAATGGTATGTTGTGTGTGTCTGTGTATGTCTGTGCTTCAGTCTGTCTGCCGGTAGGTATAAAGAAATACACACGAAACAAAAAAGACCACACACACACGGCGCGGAGACGGGCAGAGCAGGCGGGCATGGCATATACATACATGTGTATAGAGTATGGAGTATAGAGAATTGCCGGTCGGCCGCCTCGTACCCACCTTCCTACCAACAGTCTACGATGGTACGCAAGCAATCGTACGCAAGCGATAGTAATCAGACAGTAATCAGACAGTCGGCCGATTCGATAAGGGGAGAAAACCTGAGGGTCAGCTTGTCGTCACCATGGTCAGTCAGTCTTTCTCAGGCACGCAGATAGGTAAAACAGATACTGCAATCACGTGTCTCGGTCGGTCGTCGATTCGGGGGTGTGTCGCTACGCGTTTGCGAGGGCTGAAGAGGAGGACACGGAGCATATGGGCTGCATTGAAGGCATGCTGCCCACACGCTCCAACTCCTCATCGTCACCCTCCACAGACACGCAGCGGCCGCCCACACCCGCCAGCCAGCACTAATTCAGGCAGATTGATTGCTGTGTGTCCATGCAGCCCAAAATCAACACAGGTACCGCTTCCTCTCTCCTTGTCTGTCACACACACATAGATCACATCACTAGAGGCAACGCCGCACGCACATTCAGACAGTCGAATACGATACGATACGAGAAGACTTTATCCATCTACGCCACCCCACGTCCGTCCAGACGTCATGCATACCACACCATCCATCCCCTCCGCTCGCCTTCGTACCTACGACAAACTTACACACCACCACATCACAGACATACATCCGTGGATCAAGCGGCCAGCGATACAACGAACACCTGCAGGAAGGCAGGCCGGCCGGCCGCCTCAACCGCCCCTGCAGAACCGGTTCCTGGCTGTCCTGTCGCCCTCATCCCCCTCCACCTGCAAATATCGCTCCAGCCCCTGCCGCAAATACTCGCTCCTGCCAGTCATGTCAGCTCGATCCCTCGCTGTCTCGGGGGCCTCCTCCGGGGCACGCTGGAGGGCGTAATACGTGTTGCACGAGTACGTGTGTGGGGGCCGGTGGGTGTGTGCGGGCCTGGGGGTCGGTGTGGTCTCCTGCGTGATGGTGTGGGTGTGGGTGTTGGTGTGGGTGTTGGCTCGCTGCTGCTGTCTGTTGAATCGTCTGAATGAGAGTGGGCTGACGGTGGCAGCGAAGAGGGCGGGAATGGGCGAGGTGGGCGGGTTGGGCGTGGTGCGGGAGCGCATGAGGATGGAGGACATCGACCATCGTCGAGTGCTGCCGCCGGGGGAGTCAGTGGCTGACGCGCACCTGACAGACAGACAAACAACATAGGATGTCTGTCTTCTGGGCCGCTGGTGTGGTGTGGTGTGGTGTGAAGTGTGTACCTCTTGCGCATGCCCCATCTGAGTTTGAGCTTGGGCCCCTTCTTCCTCTTGCCGCCCTTGGCGGTGTTGACCACCACGTCCCCATCACACACCTTGCCCAGCGCCTGTGTGTCCACCGCCTTGTCCTTCATCGCTGCCGGAACCTTCTTGGCCGGCGTGGGCGGATCCTCCTGGTCAGAGTGATGCAACTGAATAAGACAGACCAACACACGATGAGAGAGAGAGAGAGAGAGAACATGTCAACACACATGTGGATGGAGGGGGCGGAGGGATGGGTGTGTCTTCTCTCTCAACTCACCTCGTCCACAGGCGGCTCTTCGGGCACTGGGGGCGGTGAGGGCGACACCTCTCTCGGCGGAATGGCCATCGGCACGGGGTTGGGATGGCAAACAAAGGGGGACCCGTCGGCAGACGCGGGCGGCAGCGCCACGGGCACCGGGCTCACACCCGGCACCACCACCTCATATGCCGTGACTGCCCGCCCGTCGTCTGTCTCCTTGTCCGTGTCGCACACACCACATGCGAACAGCGACCTTGGCTGGGAGCCCTTCTGGCTCTCGTCGTCCCCCGCCGCGCTTGGCTCGTCCGGCCATCTCTGGGAGAAGGGCAGGGGCGTCATGGACTGGACAGAGGAGGAGCCCGACACGGCCGACATGCACGACGGCAGCGTCACGAGCCCCCCGCCGTCCTGCCCGTCGCTCTCGAAGCACTCGCTGCCGCTGTGCAGGGGCGTCCCGAACGACACGCACGACGAGTCGCTGCCCGCCCCACCGCCGATGGCCATCCACTTGTCGTCGCTCATCACGCCCATCGGGGACTTCTTCAGCACTGTGGGGTCGCCCCCGTCGGCACGGTAGGCCACTGGTGGGAGGTAGGGTGCGATGGGGAGGGTCTGCTCGGGTGTGAGGGCCGTCATGACACAGGGGTCGGAGAACGCGCCGGTGGGGATGGGTGGGGGCGAAGGGGGCGGGGTCTGTGCTGCTGGGGGAGGGGAAAGGGGCCGGGGGATGGGGACTGTCGACGACGAGGCGAAGCCGTTGACACAGTTGTTGAGCGGCGAGTCTGTGGACTGGACGAAGGCGTCGATCTGCTCGAGGAATCCCGCGGCGGCGTGCCTGCCGCTCCTGCTGTCGGGTGACCAGCTCCTCTCGATCAGGTCGTCGATGCAATCGATGTTCTCGACATCAAAGCTCAGGCCGTCGTCGCTCGTCTGGTTCTCGTCGTCCTGGTTGGTCCCGCAGCTCCCCGCGCCCTCACCCGCACTCGTCGAAGGCGACACCGACCTGTCGGCCCGCTCGCTGTCGTGCTGGTGGTAGTGGGGCTTGTCGGCCTCCCCCTTGTGTGTGGGTGTGGGCGGCTTGCTGCCGCTGTTGAACCACCCCGTCCAGCCCATCTGCATGGCGGGGCCGAGGGAGAAAGAGGAGATGTTCTGGTTCTCGCTCTCGGTGTCGGCCTGCGTGTCGGTGTCGGGCTTGTCGTCGGCCAGGAGGGCGGGCTTGTCGTCACCCTCAGCGTCTTCCCCGTCAGGGTGCTTGTTGAGCGGTGTGGGTGGGAGGTGGAAGCACTCGGGCGGGATCTGGATGTCTTCAAACGCATAGTCCGGCAGCGGGAAGAACTGAGCTCAGGGCACCCATCCCATACACAGCACAGACAGCCGTGGAGTGGACACACACACTTGACGGACACGTGTGTACCTGCAGCATGGGCAGCACGAAGTAGTCGATGTTTTGGAGGAGGTTGCTGTTGTGGGTCATGTCCTTGGGCGTCACGAGCAGCTTCTTAGTGCCCGACGGGATGGCCGTGTAAAGACCCACCGCGTGTCGGTAGGGGATCAGCGTGTCCGACTGCCCGTGGATCAGCAACAGCGGCGCGCGGACCTGACACACACACACGCACACACACACGCACACGGGGGTGGACACGTGTCTGTGAGTGTTGTTCTGTGGGTGTGACCTGGCTGGCTGACCTTCTGAATGTGTTTGTAGTTTGGGAATCGTTCCTTGATGAAGTTGGCGACGAATCCCACGTTGGACCGCACCACCTCCTTGATCGACAGGAAGGGCGACACCAGAATCACACCCGCCGCATCGCCGAACAGAGATCCCAGGTACACCGCTGGGCCAGTACCTGAGAAGTGAGACAAAAGAGAGAGAGAGGGGGAGGGAGGAAGGCGTGTACTGTGGCTGTCGTCGTGCCTACCGATTGATCTGCCCATGATGAAGATGGAGTCCTCAGGCCACTCAATCACGTCACGCAGGTACTCAAACACAATCCGGCTGTGAGAGAAAAGCGACACACACACACACACACCCCAAGACACAAGACACCAACGGAGAGAGGGATGCACACATGTTTTGGGTGTGGTGTGGGTCTTCCCTCCCTCCCTGCCCTGCCCTGCCCTCCTACCCTACCTGTGCGCATAAACGGTGTTCTCGTCAGGCACTCCGTCGGCAATACCGTACCCGGGATACTCCATCGCACACACCTGACGAGATACACGCGTCATGTTCACACACACAGACAGCTATCCGCACCGCCATGTCGTTCGTTCGTCCACCGTGTGTGTCAACCGTTCCTGCTTAGCTGCTTACGTGGACTTGGAACTGTTCCTTGAGGAGGTTGCAGAAGTGGTAGCACCGGCCGACGTCCTCGGCGTTGCCGTGGAAGAACAAAATCACAAAACGCGCACTAGGGTACCGCAGGAACAGACACGGAATGCGATCACCGGTGGCACCCTCGCCAGACGACCCCTCCGAGGTGGCATCCCCACCACCACCACCGCCACCAGCCCCACCGCCATGATCAGATGTGTTGGCCCGGTGGCTGACGACCGTGTCGCGTGTGTCGTGTGGCTTGGGTATGAAGATGAGCTGGTTGGGGAAGGAGCGGCTGGTGTAGGAGGGGGGCGGCTTGGGGAACACCAGGGTGTCGACATTGAAGGGCAGACGCAGCGGCAGAGAGGCCATGGCCGGCGATGTCAGTCAAGGTCAAGGAATGACGGAGAGAGGGCGAGGTCGGACGGACGGACGGACGAGCGGCCGGTCCGGCAGCGTGTGTGAGGCCGCCTGTTGACAGCTGAGAGGCCACTGCCGCTATGCAGTGGCCCTCATCAGCGGCAACACAGCCACAACCTAACGGCGGTGCGCAGAAGTGGCCTGCGTGGTTGTCTTGTCGTCCCAATCGCGTCGAAAGGTGGCTGCGGGGCTGTGTGCGGCGGCACCGCTGCCGATACAGAGAGGACGAATGGCTGACTGCGACGAGGGAGGAAGGGGCAAGCAGTCAAAAGCAGCGCCGCTGAATCAATCACGGTTCAGTGGCAGCTACCAGAAGCTGCTGTCCTTCTCCAAGCGGCTCGAAGCAGGGGAGGGGTCCAGAAAGAGATGCGAGCTCACAGATTTGCGAGCTATTGTGAGGAGCACGCGTTGACACACCTCTTTCTCTTAATCGTGTGGAGGAGCTTTCCAAGCATGGGCGACCAACATCTGATTCAGAGTCGGCAAGCGAACGACAGTCTGGGGTTTTCGTGTAGGTGAATCGAATTCATCCATCTGCTTGTCTTCCCTAGCTTGCCTTTTGCTTCGTAATGTCCGCTGCCGGCCGTCCCCGCGAGCGGCCTGGGCCAGACGACGATGTCATTTGCTTGGACATGACTGACGAGGAGGAGGAGAGCGAGAGCAGCGCACGACAGGAACATGCCCTTCCAGGCCGTCATGCCACACCCCCGCAGCAGCAGCAATTGCAGCAGCGCCGGGAGCAGCGAGAGGATGGAAGTGGGGATGGCACTGGTGGTGGCGGTGAAGATGACGGCTCTCCTAGTGCGCTCGAGGAGCAGCAGCTGCTGACGTCGAGGCTGCCAGGAGTGTCCCACAACGTGGAGGTGAGGGGCTGGGGAAGGGAGGAAAAGGTGGGTGGGTTGGTTGACACACGTGTGTCTGGCTGGGGCTTCAGGCTATTCGTGACGTGCGGCATCGCAATGGCCGATGGGAGTTCCTCGTCAAGTTCACGGTCAGTCAGCTACACGCGCACACACTCTCCCGCACTTTGTCACGGTCGGTATTACTGGTCCATTGGCTCTTGCAGGGTCTGCCCGAGAGCTCCAACACGTGGACGCGTGAGACCTGCCTGACGGCTGCGTGCGATAGGTAAGCACCACACACACACTCGCGCACGCACACGAGGTATCCTTGGATCAATCAGGTATTTGCTTGACGAGTGGAAGGCCCTGTTCTACGAGCGTGAGAAGGACCAGGAGAAGCGGCGGCACATCCCCCACCACGACCCCTCCTCCCCCGACCCCTCACCCATCATCCGCAAGTCACGCAAGCGCCGCATCGTCCAGGACTCAGACACTGAGGATGAGGGGCAGATGCCTGTGGCAGCACCAGCAGCAGCAGCCGCTGCGGCTGGTGGTGGTGGTAGGGCTGGCCATCGAGGACGGTCATATGTGAGGGGCGGCGAGGACACGAGCGACGATGATCGCCCGATATTCGGACAGACGAGGGGGACGCCGCTGGCCACGGGCAAGAAGAGCAGCAGACCCAGGACGCGCACGTCGACGGCGGCCGCCAAGAAAAGGAGCGGGGCAGGCAAGTCGGCCCCCCCTCCCGCTCCCGCTGCCGCTGCGGCGGTGGCGGCTGCCCCCGTGCGTGGCCGAGATGGCGCCTCCCCTCCCCTCCTAATCCCCCTCCACAAGTTCATCCGCCCCCGCCCCGTTGTGCCAGAGAACCGTCTGCCCGGCCGCGCTGACAAAGGCAGAGACAAGAAGAAACGGCCTGCCAAACAACAGCAACAGCATCAGGAGGGCCAGCAGCAGGAAGAGGCCGACCGTGCGATGATGGACATAGTGGCCGCAGAGCGGAGGGATCGTTATCAGCAGAGGAAGCTGCGCAAGATGAGGGCGATGGGTGAGGGGGACGGTGCTGACGGTGAGGGTGGGGGTCGCCGCCAGCCACAGAGAAGGGCCAAGAGCAGCAGGGCCGGCATTTCATATGTCGACGACTTCGACATCAGGAACCTCTTCGAAGGCAACGAGATGGGCGGCCGAGGGCCGCTACGGTCACCACCACCACCACCACCACTACCCTGTTCAGGTGACGATGCACCACCCCACCCCGTGCCGGCAGCAGTTGCAGAGATCGTCTATCCGCCCCCTCCCCCACCCCCGCCCCCATACCATGAGGATGACGACGACGAGCCCCCTCCTCGCCCTTTCGCTGGACCTCCCGGGTTCCATCCGCCGGTCAGTCAGGGAAAGGGGAGAGGGGAAAGCCTTGAGTGGTGCACTGATTCTCTGGTGCATTCTGATTGATGGTGTGATTGTTTCGCCTCTTGCTTGCAGACTGGGGATAATGGAGCTGGGAGATACGGCCGTCCACGGAGGGGGGAGCTGAGAGCACTGCCTCACCTGTTTGGCGGCCATCGACTCCCGCCATGGCGAGGACAGCAGGCTGCGGCTGGGGCGCCCGCAGCAGCTGCTGCCGCTGAGCCGATGATGCCTCAGAGCGACCTTCGTGGGCGAGGGGACATGCAGATGATGCAGTTGGATGCTCGAGGAATGCGGCCGCTTGCGGACCACTTCGTCGACCCGCCGCCGGCCAATCTGCCGCATCGGCACTCCCCAGTATCGCCACCCTCCCCATCGGCAGCAGCTGCTGCTGCACCTTCACCCCAATCACCGCCACAGCCTCTGTTGGAGCTAGCAGCAGTCGAGTCATCGGTGGCAGCTGCTGCCTCGCCTCCCCTCCAGCAGCACAGGGGAATGCGCGTCGACATGATGCCTCCCTCACTCCAGCCACCACCTCTGAGTCGGAGGGGACCAGCAGCAATCCATGCACCAGCGGCAGGTGTTGCTGCTGCCCCCCTGCTGCGCTCACCTAACACCCAGAGCCCCCCGAACTTCCCCTACCCACCGCCAGCAGCTGCTGCAGCTGCTGCTGCTGCAGCAGAAGGTGGCCGGCCGTCGCGTGGGGACGTAGCTGCGGGGAACGGTGTGGAGGAGTATCTCTTTGGCGAGGGGGATCGCGTGAGGTCGCTGGAGAGGAATGGGGTCTTCCAGCACTACCGTCAGCACATCAGGGTGATGCCGGTCACCATTGAGGGGCAGCCGGCACATAGGAGGTGCATCTGCAGGGCAATACAGGTACCTGGGGGGGTGCTGACTTTGCACTGCACAGGGAGGGAGGGAGGGAGGGAAAGATGATAGGCTACGATTGTTGTTTGTCCGTCGGCCTTTTGCGTGTGCAGGGTTGCGACGCCAATGAACCCAAGGTGACGCAGAAGGCGTGCTCGCGGGCCCTCAGAGAGATCGACATGAAGGTGAGAGAGAGAGCGAGAGAGAGCACAGCAATCGCATCGCTCACCCTGTGTGTCGGTGCTGCCTTCCTTCCAATTTGCTCGTCTCGTCCCGCGTCCCCCCCGTGCACTGCAGGTGGCCTGCAAATTCTGCGGGCAGGAGTGTGACGCCGACTGCTACTTCTGCTGGATAGCCATGTGCCCGAAGCTCAAGCAGTGGATCAAAGAGGGGCAGGACAGCTTCGTCTGTGTGTCCTGCCGCGTCATGATGGCTGTGAGTGAGCAGGGAGGCGGGCGGGGGTGGGGGAGGCAGCAGGGAATAATGAGTGGGAACACACACACACACACACACACGCGCTCATGGATACCTCTGTGTGTGTGTGTGTGTGATTGTGATGTTCAGGATGTGTTCAACATGCCTGAGGGGATCTTGGCTGTCAAGGTCTATCGCAATCTGGCCGAGGGCACCAAGGACCACATCGACGACCACATCAACTTCACCCTGCCACCAGGTAGGTACCACACACACCCACACGCACCCACGGGCAGTGCATATCACAAAGCAAGCGTCCCTGTGTGAGTGTCTGTCTGCAGACATGGCCGGCCGTGCCCTTCGTCTGTATGGCTTCACCTTCTTCGACCCCCCGCCAAGGGACAAGACCTACGGAGTGGTTAACTTCCAGCCGCACGTCAAGTGGCCGGCCAACGGCGTCAAGCTCTCGGTAGCACAACACACACATCATCCACTCAATACACCACACCACATCCATACATCACCCCTCGGTGTGTGTGTGTGTGTGTGCCCGTCAGGTCGGCAGGAGCGGTGATGTTCCGCTCAGGGGCCCCTGGTCGTGCGTGATACCCAAGCCGGACAGCAACAGCAACACCGCGGCGCAGTACGGCCCCCGGAGGCCTGACAAGCCCATCCGTGTGGGGGGAGTCGACCTGCGGGCTGGCGGCAAGTACTGCCTCCGTGTTGAGGACCACATAGAGCGGGTCAGTCAGTGTTTCCACATCACCATCACACACACAGACGCCATTCATTGCGCCCCTGCATTCGTTCGTGTGTTTGCCTATGTGTGTGTGTGTGTGTGTGTGTGTCAGGACGGTCCGAATGCGCTCATCCGGACCCCCTTCATGGTGGTGGTGGCCGTCACGCGACCAGGCACAGCGGCGAGCATCGTCGACATGATCACACGTCACTCCCATATTGGCAGAAACACGTGCAGACAGAAGGTAGGTGAGGAGGGCGAGGAGACACAGACAAGCGTGAAGGTCCATATATGTGTGTGTGGTATGTGGCCGTCTTGTTTGTGCAGTTGTTGTCGATGCTGCGGACGGCTGATGCGGCGGCCCACCAGGTGGACGATGACATCGAGGTGGCTGGAGAGGCACAGACGCTGAGCCGGCGGGACCCCGTCACCATGGATGACATCAAGGTCCCCGTCAGGGGGCGGGACTGCAAGTCAGTGAGCATACCATATCATCCATCCATCCATCTATGCATCCGTCTTTCACTCACTGTGTGTGGTCACTGTGTGTCATCCATTTAGGCACCTCGAGTGCATCGATTTGCAGCCGTTCGTCGACATGGCCAAGAATAACGACAGCAGGTGGATTAATGACGCCACACACAGCAGACACAGCAGACCAGGAGGATCCAGAATGTCATCCCTCCTGCCGCATGTGTGTCTGATGTATGGGTGCGCGTGTGTGTGTTTCAGCGGCTTCAAGGGTCGCTGGAAGTGCCCCCAGCAGGGCTGCAATGCGTCCCTCTACCCCTGGGACATCTACATCGACGACTTCGTCAGCCACCTCCTAAACCACAAACACAGAAAGGCGGACGAGGCAACAAACAAAGATACCCACACCCACACCTTACCCCTCTCAGCAGTCAGTTTTTTGTCATGTGTGTGCTGTCTGTCCAGGTGGTCTTCCGGCTCGTCTTCCGGCTCGTGGACAACGAGCTCGTCATCACGCCTTCAGGCCAAGGCGACGCACGGCCATCTGCCCCTCTACCACCACCACCACCAGCTGCAGCTGCCGCCTTCCCGCCACCGCCTCTATCGCAGATGCCCCAATCATCGATGATGGCCGCTGCAGACCCCTACCCACCAGCACCAGCGCCACCACCAGCAGCGGCTGCAGCAGCGGGAGGCGTGTCGAGACGTCAGAGCATGGGACAGCAGGAGGGTCTCGGGGATGATGAGGTCATCTGTGTGGATCTCGACGACGACTGACTCAGAGAAGAAGGGATGGGGGCGAGGGGGGTGATGGTCAGAGGATGCAGCAATGTGAATGGGCAGCATGGCCACATGACCCTTTTTGCACCGTGTGATGTGTGCTGTTGGGTGGCCGGGATGTGCACTCGTGAATGAGCGGATGGATGTGTGTAAGCCTTTCGCTCGCTAGATGACCCTTCTTGCTTGGTCGCCCCTTGGCTGGCCCAATGTGCTGTCTGTCTGTCTGTCTGCCTCTCTGCCTGGATTTGATACACACTCGCTGTGAAGAGTATGACTTGACGGATGGATGCACTGAGTCATACATAGATTTATCACCTGACTGACGCCACAAATCACTCCCCTCATGCAGCAACCATGGAAAGGAAATCTGCTATGATCCCGCTGCTCATTGCACACTCAGCAACCAGAAGTACAAACCATGCCCACAGACGAACGTACAGACGAGCACATCAAGCATCGCGATCACACAAGAGAGGATGGCGAGTGAAAAACGGTCAGAGCAAAAGAGGCGTCAGCACCGTAAAAAAGCAGCCCCGTTTGCCCTCTCTCCCTCCCTCCCTCCCTCCCTCCCTCTCTCCGCCCTTCACCCCCTCCCTCCTAGAAAAGAGACAGATCTTTCTGTGTGTGTGTCTCGTAGGCCCGTCTGCCTGTCTCCTTGTCTCCCTCCATTTCGCATGTAGATTGTCCACACAGCACACATGGCCTGAGCAAAAGAGAAGGCCACACTTCATAATCCCTTCTCAGCGACCCCCCTTCTCACTCCTTCGTACTTTGTTCCCGTGTCACGACTCCTTAAGACCCGTCAATGTAGCCGCCCCCACCACAGCAAGGGAACAGCCTTCGGCACATGTCCCCATACCACGTCCTGGGGATGTCGAATGGGCTGACTTCACGCGCCGGCAAGCGCATGACGGCCGCCCGTAAGTCCCGCTCGAAGTGGCCGCAACTGCGAGAAGAAGAGAAATCCATACAGAGAGAGAGATGAGCATGTGCCATGTGTTCGCCTGCTTACTTGTCGTGAAACATGTGGAATTTGATGTCAATGTGGGCCAAAAGGGCGTCTTTTAGGCGCCCCGCCGCTCCGCGTGGGCAGAGGCGCTGGAAGAACTTGTGTTCTTCCAGCGGCGGGAGGCCTCCCAGAGGGCTGGCACCCCAGGAATATACCCGATAGCCATCAGGCAACCCCTGATGAGAGCAAACCAGCAATGGAACACACTTCTGTCTTCTCACTCTCAAGCTTCTCCTGATACCCATCTGGTCTTGTCGACGAAAAGAACTCGCCGCCTACACAGCACATATAGGAGAGATAAAATGCATCGAGAGTGATGGCTGATTGGTATTCTACCTCCATCGGCCGCAAACATACCTTTGTCCATATTCGCAAAGTAGCAGCCGATGTGCTCCCCCTGGATCGTGCTGCCCAGCACAATCGTCCCAAAAAGGAGTCGGTCGTCCTTCTCCCAGAGATAGTTGATGTGTTCCACAAACGAATTCAACTCTGAATCAATACACACACATGGGGGCAGACAAGAGCACGGAGCGAGGGCGTCTATTCCTCCTCACCAATGCGCACCTCCCCTTCCTCGCAGGATGGGTCCCCCGGCACGACCTTGAGCGGCGGGGCGAGGTGCTTCTGAGGCCTCTGGCCTCCCGCAGTTGGCTGCGGAGCCACCGGTTGCTGCGATGGCTGCAGTGGGGGAACTCGATGCAGCCCTCCTGTGTTGGCCGAAAAAAGGGGAAGGCCACGCTGAGGCACAGTAGGGGGCGGCTGCAGCGGCACATACCGCTGGAAGAGCTGAGGGGGACACGGGGGAGGGTGCACGCCTACAAACACCAACACAAACACCAAAGACATCAATTGTCAAGCGACGGGATGCCTTCCTTCGTGTGCCCCTCACCGCCGGTGGCTGGCGAGGCCGTCGGGATGGCTGAATGAGCTTGATACATGCTCGTGTGTAGCTGCACAAAGCGTTGGGGTGGTTTCCGAAGAGAAGGTGGCCCCAATTTGGAAGTCTCGACGGGGACAAGTGGATCGGCAATCGGGCGGGCATCCGAGTCGCTGAGAGGTCATCGGCTGCCGTGTAGCCCTCTTCGTCGCATAATCAATCTGAGATGCTGATGGCCATTGACTGTGGTCCTCGGCGCACCTGATGCAACAACCATCGATCGCATCGACATCAGCTGAGGGTCGGTTCGGAGGGAGTGTGATGCTGCATGGCTGTACTGTATGTTCACTCTCGCGCTGTGCTGCTGTGTGCCTGCAGAATCACTCATCACGGCGCGTCACGACTGGTGTGGCGGCTGCTGGTATGTAGCGCATCTGGCCTATAGAGAGTCCAATAGCGTCGGCTGAGGTGAGCACACCCCGTACTCTCATTTCGCCGCCTGATGGCCGTTCATTTCTGTCTGTGTCCTTGCTTGCTTCATTCATTCATTCAGATCGCGTCAGTCATGGCTGTGGCTCCTCGACCCTTCCTTCTCGGCCCTGGAGATGTCCCCTTCCTGCGCACCCTCATCGTCCGCAAGGCCGTCCGCATGGCCACGACCAACCCAGGCAGCGCCGAGCGGGCCGCACTCCACTCACAGATCAACAACCACACTCGGCAGCAGGAGCTGCTGCTCCACACCCTCGACAGCGCCATCAGCATGCTGCGCAACGACGTCAAGGAGTACGTCGACGAGGCCCTGCGTCGTCTCGGGATCGCCGACGCCATTGACTTCGAATTCGACGTCGATGGTCTGGAGGGCGGCCTCAGGCTCATCTACCTGCTGCACCAGGGCGCTGCCGAGTGGCCAGCGATCGGGTGTCTCGTTCGACTGGCGTTCAACCATCGGCTCACCCCCCGCACGACTCGACCACTGCGTGTGCCGGCCGAGTCGGTGCCGCACGCAGCGGCCTTCCACCAGCTGCCCCTCAGCATGGCCATCTACCGCCTCATTGTGTCAGCGTGAGCGTGGCACACAGATGTCGATATATCCTTGACCCGAAAGGATATGAATGCGCATCACAACCAAGTCCCGCATATAAGCTCGCAGACACGATCACGCATCATGAATGGGGCCTGGCTGATGGCTGTCTGACACCCCCTCTCGCTCGAAGAGCGTCCCACACAGCAGTCAGCAGACAGGCCTCTAGACAGATGTGAAGCTCTGCTCCACTTAAAACGATGGACACTTCGATGTATGTTATCAACAGAGATAGTGGACGCCACACACTGTGTCTGTGCGGGCATCATTGCTATGTACACTACTCATTACTCACTCCCAATGCACGCACTCTAGCTCCGTACCACATGCGTCACACACGTGTGTGTCTGCGGATGTGGGTGTCGGTGGCATGGCACGGATGGCATGGCATGAATGGATGTGTGTGTGTGGTGGGCTGGGTGAATGGACGCATGAATGGGTGGGCTGATGGGGCGGGGTGAGTGGGTGGGATGGTGATGTGGACGAGGAAGAGGATGAAGAGTGTGTGAGGCAGTCATGTGAGTGTGTGTCCGTCAAAACCGCTGCCTGACTCACATACCGCCTGACATTCTCCTGTCTGCCCGCCTTCTCTTTGTCTGCTATCTCCTTTGTGATCGCCTTGCCCACCGTCTCGTGCAGCTCCTCCTTGTGCTGGCTAGCTGAGCGCGCTTGTAGACGGCATCTCCTTCTCCTGGCGGAATGCTGTGCTCGGCGAGGTACTGGGCGTGACGGGACGGGTGCTTGTGGTAGTTGCTCTTCCACTTGGCCACCTTCTGGCCCGCCGTTAGCGCGTTCGTCTGTTGCCGTTCCACCCATGTGCCCTCCTCTGGCTCATAGACCTTGGGCGGTCGCCTCTCGCGGCCGCTCCGTCGTGGCTCCTCATCCTCCTGCTCATCATCAGCCGCAAATTCGTCGGGGACGCCCATCTGCGGAGGCTGCGGTAGCTGCTGCTGCTGCTGGTGGTGGTCATCACCACCGTCTCCCAGCTCCCCCTCTGCCCCCTCTTGCTCGTCAGCTGGTGGCTCCTCGGCTGGCGCCGCAGCAGGGGGGACGGGCTCTTGTGCTGGTGGTGGCGGTGGTGGGTGTGGTGCGATGATGGGTGGGAAGTCCTCAGGGACCGCTGGTGGGGCGCCTGTGCCGACCTCCACCCCCCTCTCAGCCCACGTGCTGAAGAAGGGCTCCCTCCCCTCCTTCTGGTCCAGCCAGGGGAAGCGCCGCTCATTGCAGGTGAAGCTCCTCCCCGACACCACCTTGCCCGTCGAGTGCAGCAGCACCCGCACCGAATCACGCACGCCGCTCTCGTCCGGCCCCAGGTAGTATCCATACCGCCCCTTGGGCTCCATGACGCCCTGCTTGGCCAGCCGGATGGACGTGTGGCAGCCAAACGCCCGCAGGGTGCTCATGTTAGGCTTCTTGCCATGGTAGGCCTCGTATGGGGTCATGCTGCGTCCGTCAGCGGGGTGAGTGAGGGGTTTGGAGGGCGTGCGGTTCGTCAACCACACGGCGTGGCCGACTGCGTGCGGCCACAGCTTGTCGGGCATGCCGGACATCGACACCAGCTTCTTGACCTTGGCCTTGACGATGCCGACCTTGCGCTCGACCGGGCCGTTCTGGTGCTGCTCGTGGCTCGCCGAGAAGCGCTGCCTGATGCCCAGCTCTCGGCACTTGCGAGCGAGCATCCCGCCCGCCAGCTCACCCCCGCCCAGCTCTCCTGCTTGGTCGCTCCTCAGCTCCTTCGGCTTGTTGCCCATCACCTGGATGACCCGCTCGAGTGCCTGGCCCGCCTCGGCCTTGTTCCTCATGAGAGAGACGCACGAGAACCCCGACGCGTCGTCCCGCACGATCAAATAGCCCTTGTGGCCACGCTGCGACTCCTTCATGGGCTCGAAGTCGGCGTACCAGACGTCGTTTGATTTGGCCGACTTGGTGCGGTCGATGCCTCTGCGCTTGCGGGGGAGGTCACCGTCGACGCAGGGCTGGCAGTAGTTCTCTTTGGGGTAGCTGCTGGGCTGCTGGAAGCCGATGGTCGACCGCGCCATCTCCTTCATGGCCTCGTCAGACACGTGCAGCCGGTTGTGCACCACCTGGTAGGTCACCTCGGTCGACTTGAGAGGCGCCGCCACTCCTCGCTCAACACGACAACTGTCACCACACGCAGAGACAGCATGAGTCTTCGCCTCACTCATCTGCTCTGTTTTGGGAGGGGGGACACTTCCCTGGTGAGTAGAAGCTCCCGCAAGGGGCCCGGCTTTACCTCCGCCACCTGGCGACGGTCCGGCCCTCCTCTCCGACCCTTGTCGGTCGTTCCTTGAGGCGTTCGAAGCAGCCCCGGGTGCCACACACCCCCTCTTAAGGCCAGCATCATCGCCAGCCCCCTCTCGACTCGCCGACCCTGACGGCGATGTCGTGGTCGTCTCGCACACGTGCTGCGTGGGCTGCTCGGTCTCGCGGAGGTACGCCTTGATGCCCTTGTCGACCAGCTGGATCATGTGGCCGCTGTTGCAGTCCTCGATGAAGGACTGGTCCTTCTTGTGGGTGTCGTGGACGAAGCGCTTGCCCTCCTTGCCGAGCCGTCCTGAGCTGATGATGTTGTGTTGGATGGACCGACACAGCAGGACACCACGCAGCACCAGGGCTCCGCCGCTGGTCTGCAGGGTGTGTGCCGATGCCGTCGGCGTTGACCACTGTGCCGTCCGCCGTCTCGATGCAGTTGTCGCACTGCTTGAGGTCGGGCAGCTTGCTCTCGTCCCACGTGATGTGCTTGTCGCTGCCAGAGTCGACCATGAAGTCGTCCTCCTTCTCCTTGCTCAACACTGACGAGCACCTATTGACCGACAACAACTGACAGACAGGCGTGGGCTCTTGCTCGCCAGCCTCTGTCTGTCTGCCCTTCGCCACCTGCCCGCCATTCTGACCTGAATGCGGGCCGGGGCGAGCATCAGATGCTACTTTGTTGGGGGCCCCGGACCCCATGCTTTGTTGTACGGGGCTTGTCGCTTGCACACCACTCGACCCGCCAGGCGACAGCACTGGCTCGTCCACTGCCCTGACCACCGCCACGGTGTAGTGGGCGTCCTCATCGCCCTCGTCCTGCACGGCGTTGACTGTCGCTGCCCTGAGCCTGTTGGCGAACCGCTGGAAGCCGAAGGGCTCCTTGCCGTAGGGCGACTGGCTCCAGTCGACGCGGTTGTCGCGGATGTCTCGCTTGAGCTTCTTGCACGCGAACCACTTGTCCTTGTGCTTGCCACAGTACCAGCAGCCATCGGGTCCCTGGGCTGGTGCGGCTCCCTCCTTGCGGAACCGACTTGGACCACCCTGGGCACCCCCTCTCGCCTGCCCCTGCCCCCTCTCGCCTCGGGGGGACACTGACGGGGGCTTATGGCGAAGTGCCGCCACCGTGCTGCTGTCTGCCGCACTCTCCGCCGCCTTGGCGTTGTCGCTTGCGCTCAGGAGACGCTGCTTGAAGACGTCCCAGCCGGCCGTGCTCGTCTCACTCGCGATGATCTCCAGGAACACCCTGTACTCGGGCAGGCCGTGCAGGAGACGCTTGAACTTGTTGACTTTCATGACCTCTCCGATGGCCTGACCCGCCGCCTCGCACTTCCTGACAGCGCCCTCGTAGCGTGCCAGCTCCTTGGCCACGTCGCCTGACGCCAGCTTGAAGTCCTCGTACGCGTCGATGTCCTTTGCCTTTTGCTGCTCGCGCCGTGGGTCGTAGTAGTTGACCAGCTGCAGCCA